TTGTTCTCTAAGACTGTTTCCGCGTATCAGCCTTCAAGGGAGGGATGTCGAAGTTCTTGTGGTGGGAGGGAGGGGAGAGGGCAGAGGGGGAGGGAGTCTGTTATATTGAGAGTGAAGTTCGGTTTAGTGTTGGTTCGATGACACTCCTCTTTTTGGTGTTTTGTTGTTCTTAGTGTCGGTATTTTTATGATCATGGCGTTTGTTAATACTACCACCACCATCACCACCACCACCAACAACAACAACAACAACAACAACAACAACACTATTACTATTACTACTACTACCATTGCACGAATATTGCTGCTGTTTTTACGTAATTTTTTTTCGCCGACATGTTCCTCTCGTCTCGGCGTGCCAAGGTCTCGCTTGACCGAAGGAGGCGAGGGCTTCAGGTAACGAGAGAAGGAAGGTGCAAAGGTGAATTATTATGCAGGAAGGAAGGAGAGGGGATATGGGAGGGGATGGAAGAGAATGGAGGACATAGGAAAAGGAAGAGAAAAGAATTGCATAGGAAAAGGAAGAGAAAAGAATTGATGAAATAATCAGGAAGTAAGGAATAACAGAGCAAGGACGAATAAACCTAATTAAAAACACGAGAATAAAAGAGGGAGAGAGAGATAGGGAGAAAGAAGAGAAACGCAACAGCTGTATTGTGGCGATACAGCTGTTGTATTTTCAGAGCGCTGGCATGTAGTGGTATACTAAGCAAAGGAAGAAATATAAGCCAAGGGGAGTGTGTGTACTCAAGGGAGGGGGGGGGGGTAAGGGGGTAAGGGGGGAGTGGAGGTGAAGGAGGGAAGGATGGGGGTGTTCCCGGGGGTGGGGGGGGGGGGTGGGGGGGAGAGGGTGGGGGAGAAAGACGAACGGGATGAAAATCTATATGTGTTTGCTGTATTTAATTAGCGAGCGATGAAGGGGCGGGAGAGAGAGAGAGAGAGAGAGAGAGAGAGAGAGAGAGAGAGAGAGAGAGAGAGAGAGAGAGAGAGAGAGAGAGAGAGAGGAATTTATGGTTTTGTAGATGTTGGTTAGGATGCCACGAGTGCCTGCGTTGGTGCGGTTTTTTGTGTTATTTGTTTGTTTGTTTTTTTGTTCTATGCTTTCAAGAGTGGAGTCGTCCTCTTTGTGATTAAATTTTTGGGTGGATGCTTGTTTAACTCTTCGCACCTAAAGTTGTGCATACGCAATTGTGCATACGCACATCTACATGCGCACACATCACTCACACATACACACGCACACACGCGCGCACCCCCCCCCCCACACACACACGCAGAGAGAGAGAAGAGAGAGACGAAAGAGTAAGAAAAAGTAAGAAAAAAAGATCAGATAATAAGGGAATAAGAAAGAAAGAAATAGAAATAGAGAGAGTGAGGGCGGGAGAGAGAGATTAAGCTGCATCTTGCCTAAACATTTGTCTCCTCACTTATTTAGCTTTCCGGGGCTGGGGCGTGCGAGGGACCCGTGTAATGCAAGGATCAGGAATGGACGGTTGGCATCACTGCGCTATTTCCACGGGGCGCGACGCTCCCTCTGAGGCTGTAGCTGTCAAGGGCGCCTTCCCTCGGGAGGGGGGAAAGGTGGGGGGGGGGGGAGGACATGACCTTTCTCTGGACTCGCGAGGCTCTTGCTCTTGATCCCACCCTTCCTTGGTTTCTTCACGTATTCCTCTCTCTCTCTCTCTCTCTCTCTCTCTCTCTCTCTCTCTCCTCTCTATCTCTCTCTCTCTCTCTCTCTCTCTCTCTCTCTCCTCTCTCTCTCTCTCTCTCTCTCTCTCTCCTTTAATCTCTACCTACATTCTGGATTTCTCGTCATTCCTCATAGTACCTCCCCCTCCTCCTCCTCCCCCTCTTCCTCCTCCTCTTCCTCCTCCTCCTCCTCCCCTCCTCCTCCTCCTCCTCCTCCTCCTCCTCCTCCTCCTCCTCCTCCTCCTCCTCCTCCCCTCCCCCTCCCCCTCCCCCTCCTCTCTCTACCCCCCCCCCCTCCTCCTCCTCCCCCTCCCCCCCCCTCCTCCTCCTCCTCCTCCTTCCCTCTATGTCCCCAACTCCTCTAAGCCTCTGGAGTGTTTCTTGAAGGAGTTTCCAGCTGGCGGCGGCACAAGGAGGAGCGATCCCACCAGTTGCGTCCGTCTTCAAGGAGGGGGATCTTCCTTGAGGGGGAGTAGGGGTGGGGGGTGGGGGTGGGGTGGGGAGAAGGGGAGGTTGAGGGGAGAAGGGGAGGTTGAGGGAAAGGGGGGTAGGGGTGGGGAGTATGGGGAGGAAAGGGGGAGGGGAGGGAAAGAAGGGTAGAGGGGAAAAGGGGAAGAAAATTATTAGGTGTAGAAAGGAAAGGGGGAAGAAACGTTTAAGTGTAGATGGAAAAGGGGAGTGTAAAAAAAAAAGAAAGAAAGAAAGAAGGATGTAAATAGAAGGAAGAAAAGGGAGGAGAGAGAAGAAAGGGGAAAGGGAAAATGAGAAAGAGAGGGAAGAGGGGGAGGAGGGGAAGGGATGAGCGTCCGAGC